CTCTTATAACTCAGCACGTCTTTGCAGCGCTAAAACATCAAGTTTTTGTGCCATGTCCGTGGATGTCGAATTGTGGCGAGAAGAGTTAGATTTTCCTGCAACAGCTTTGCTGCGTGAGTACATATACTTTCTTTCATTCAGGAAATTGTTCAGGACTCGAAAATCTTTGTTCGCCAAGAAGTCAGATAAACAAACGTGTGAAACCATTTAACGTTTGATAGCTTCATCTGTACCTATTACTCTTACACTGCAGAGAATTTGTACAATTTGCTGGGATTTGGGGCGTAAGGTCGCCAATAGTGCTATTGTCTGTCTCAAAATGATAGCATTCTCAATGTCCAATTTGTATTTTATTTTTAAAGTGGCTTTACTATACACATTGATGTCTTCTATTGCACGGGTTTACAGTCCAGATATAGCCGGATTTTCGAAGGGTCCAGGGGCTATTTTGTAAATTGTTTATCACCTGCTATTATACAAACAGTGCGCCTCAAATCAAGACATGCAAACAGCAAAAGAGGTGCTACAAAGAACGAAATATCTAACTTTTACTGCGTGTGCAATGGACTATTAGATACCAAAATATTTCTCCATGTCTGGGATGAACAGTTTATACAAATAAAGCTTGTCGCTGGCTTTATCCGTTTTGACAATTTTACCCAGAAATCTGCCCTATTCCAAAAACGATTTCAACATTTGAGAATCTCCTGGTAGTTACATGCAATTGTGCGGTTATTCCTTGTATCAAACAAATTTACGCTTGATTTTCCCACTGAAGTATAAAACCAACATAATTCAGATTCGAAAAGTTATGCAAATGTTACACGATGAATGCCTCCGGTCTATTGTTTTGAGCCTAAGTTTTGAAGTGTTTTGCAAAACCTGTTCTGAGCTATATGCAAAGTATCTAAAGTAAAGCAATTAAGCCAAGTTTACGAAGATTAAATTGTGAAAGCGAAACACTGTTAAGAATGGGTACAATCTGGTCATCGTACATTCTTTCCATCTATGTAGGGTGTTAATTTTTCATTTTTGAGCGACGTTTTGTGAAAAATGACCTGATTTTACAAGCAGGCTCACTCTGATATAACTTATATAAATCAATTCAATTTATTTTCTGCTACCAACATTTTCACATCGTTTCAATAAGACAAGTTCGATTCATTTCAAAGTCCAACCTCAATCATTGCTGAAAATGACTTGTAAAGTATTGTCTGCCAGTTAATTTTCATGTATTTTACACTTACTTAAAAGAGGAAACAGGACTATGATATATTTCTGGTTGAACTAAGCTTCTTATAAAGGGAAAGCGACAAATTTAAAGTAACAACGTCGTTTTTACGATATTGAATTCTCTGATCATTCCAAATTCCCTACTCTTTCTCGTCCTTTGAGGCTAATTTTATGTTTTTTTGTTTTTTGCACGTTCCAGGCTGATGAAACAACATACAAAGCTGACAATTTCTTTCACGTAAGGACGAGATGTCATGCAGATCAAGGACATTGTTAAGAGAAGTGATTGACTCAAATCACAGAAAACTAAACAGAATTTCGTGTTTTGCACCGCCGAAGTCAAACACTTTAAAACACCTCCAAAACGAATTCAGAAAAACAATCCCGCGTCCGCGATATGCATTCGTCACCTTGGTGATGTGCGGAGATGAGTATATTAAGGGGGCACTGACCCTCGCATGGTCTGTGAGGCAACAGAAAACTCAACACGAATTGATTGTCATGGTAACACCTGACGTCAGCGTTCCCGCAATGAAGCTACTGCGCAAGCTCTACGACCGCGTGATAAAGGTGCAATACATCAAAACGAGGGTGAAAAGCGCATTGCGAGGGAAAAAGTACCGCAAAGAGGATACTTGGATTGAATACAGCTTAACAAAGGCGCGCATGTTGAAACTCACAGAGTACGACAAGATCATTTGGTTGGACGCGGATTCGCTGGTTCTTAACAACATTGACGAACTCTTTGAGCTTCAAACTCCGGCTGGCGTTTGTTCAAGCATCCGAAATCACGACTATTGGCACGGGTCGAAAATACCCGAACTCGAAATAGAAAATTCCGTCGAAAACAATTACGGTGTGCACGGCTGTACCATGGTTCTTACGCCTAACCTAGATCACTATCTGCTAGCGAGTTCGCTTCCTCAAATAGGAACAACAACGAACTTTGTTGGACCCGATGAATACTTCTTTACACAGCTGTACAAAACCGAATGGCATCATATTCACGTCAAGTATGCCTGCACGAAATGGTTCTACGAAATGAGGGATGTAAAACCCGAGGTGATTCATTTCTCTGGGGACAAGCCGTGGGAGGACGAGGAAGACTGGGAAGGAATACGCAGGTGGAGAGAGGCAACGGAGGGCATGGTTCGAGTCTGCCCGAAAATGTCGGATTTATTCGTCACACGAAGTCGGTCGAGTTCTCAACGAAGTCAGGACGAAGACAAGTCTTCGGAAAGTAGCAAAGTCTCGTTTAGGACTCAAAGTTCTGAACTAACATTGAAGTTAAATGGCCTCCACAGTTTCCAAGAAACCCTTGAATAAATAAACGGTATATTTACAAATATAACAATTACAGTTGGGTCTCCTAAGGTCTGGGTTTAAAAGTTAATTAAAATCTCGTTACACTGAAAAAAGAGCTATGTTTGATACCGGATATGCTAGTTTCAACTGAATGCTTTACTTTAACTCTGTAGCCTTATCTTAGAAATTTCACACCCAGTCAAGTAGACGGGGAGAGGGGGTGCAAGAGGGAAGGCATGGGAGGAAGACAACTGCAACGCTTTACTCCACTTTCCATGACTACTCTCCCTGGATGGGACGTTAGTCTATCAAAGGTTATCTCCCCCCCCCCTGCAATCAGCATTTTTCTGAAAATAACCATCAACAATTCGCCATGTGCATCAAAGACGTCCTAATAAAGCAACGTCAGAATTTGTTTGAAGAATTAAACTTTTAATATTCAACAATCTTCTTGTGAACATTTTCAACTACATAAATATATTCTGACAGCTTAAACGATATAGCAATTAATTTACTAATGGTTGAAGAAATATGTTATTTCGACAACTATGCTTGAAATGTAACAGGTGATAGCTCTTAGTTTAATTTTCTGTTAGTTCGTTTCGTCTGTAGTTAAAATATCATTGACGTAAGGAGACAACACATAAGCCATGAAGACGATATTTTAACTTTGCTCGAATACCATGTTAGTATGGCATTCTCCAGTTTTATAAGTTACTCTTTAATACGCTTTCTCTTAATAAACCTGTTTCTTTTTGTATTTGCAAATACGCAGAATTAAGTTTTTCAACAAGCAAACGCAGCTAAGAAAAACAAAACCCGTCACGTGCGATTTGCTTCCAAATATGGAGTTAAATACAGCCAATCAAAGGGCAGACATGAAAGCACGTGATCAGCCCAATCAGATGCGTGTTAACTGGTGCCAGATGTGAGCAGGAAAGAAGTCTTCAAGCTTCTGAATGATAAGGTTTAGCGGTGTGGAAATCCAGCTCAAACACTGTAACATTAAACAAAGGCAAAAATTACCATACAAAACATCACGTTAGCAATGTGCAAGAAAAATTCAGAAAAATGCACAAAAATGCACAAAAATGCACATTCTAAAATGCAAAACTTTGTTGACAGTGTCAGCAATTTCGGGAAGTATTTCCTGGGCACAATCTACGAATAAAGCAGAAGACTCGAACTAGAGCGGTTTTCTCTTGAGGGTCGAAAAGTAATTGGTTTCGCACTTTTTATGCTACACGATTGGCTTAAAAAACTCGCGCCACTGTTTCATCCAATCAGAAGTAAAACAAAAACTAATAGCCCATTTCCGAGTTGCCTTTTGCCTCTGTGTCAAAACGACACTTCGGGCGAAACCATTCATATGAAAATGAGATCCGCCTGCAGGTTCATTGTCTCGTAAATCTAACTCATTTTCATATGAAAGATCTTGCACAAAGACTCATTTTGAAACAGAGGTACTAGGTAACTCGGAAATGACCTATTGTGACGCGTTCACACACATTTTCCCGCGCTTGGCGTCAGCTTCATGTTATTGCTACAAAGTTTGATTGGTTCATTGTATTGTCTGTGTCCTTTGTGATTGGCTAAAGTGAATACCTTGATTTTGATTTTACAACACTCAATTGAAAACAGGTCTGACTAAACAAAACTAACTGAAAGGTTCGTTTGAGCAGACTTGCTACTTACAGTTTTGGCCGCGTTAGCCATAGGTTCAGGGAACTGGTGCGTAAGAAGAGCCAGCATTGCAGTGAAGGAGCACAGGGCAGCAGTAAACAGAATGAAGAAAGGAAGCTCTTTTTTGGGGTAAATGGAGAGTTCATGATGACCTGAAAGATTACAAATGAAAAATGTGACATTCTTCAACTTAGGATTTTCCTAGCATTTGAGCATAAGCGCTTACCACGGCTGTATATATGGGTTAATAACGCATTTGTCTAACACGTGTTATCAGTTTGCATTTATTTTTGCAACCGGAAAAAATGTATTTACAGACCCTCACGTAGCACATATCACATTTTAAAACAATTTTTCCTCACACTATTTGACCATGGCTTCTCTAGCGTGGTTTCATGGCTCAGTTGGTAAAGCTTTGCACTTGCGATGTTCTCTTGAAATTGTTTATTAATTGCAAACAATTGCGAAGGTCCTTTCTCCAATTTGCGCACAGAAAATTTCATTCACATTCTTTATACACATCTTAAAGCCTTGTACAGAGGCAGCAAAAACTGATATACAATACAGCCGCCTTAAGATGGCGGTCAATGAAGCGAACTGCATGCAAAGCACAAAAATAGACCATTTTTGTATTCTCGGTCTTGGACTGGAACTAGCTTGCAACTGAGGCTAATGCAGGGAGTCTCTCCTAATGCAAATGACATCAATCTCCGCTTTTTAATGATCTGCCCCCGCAGGAACCTCCATTGCCAGCTAGTTCCAGTCCAAAACTGAGAATACGAATATGGTCTGTTGTTCTTACCTGGCAGAAGTTCTCTGTCAGCGTTCTCAGTGCATGCTGGGTAAGGATGAAACAAATGCCCCTTCTCCAGGGGGTAGGGGACGAGACGAAATGCTGTAAACAGACACAAAATAAGCGTTAGGCGCTTGTTCAGTTTTTCCTCAGGGTCACCCATTTGGGGGTACCCGGAGGTATTAACACTGAGGATGACCCAGTTTTATAGCCGAGGGTCGAATTTTGCCATTCATCTGCACGAGTTGGTAATTTCAAAGGAACAAAGAGAAACTAGCAAACGAGCGAAAAGAAAAAGTTTCGCCGTCCTCAAGTTTCAAATGTCGGTATCAAATGAAGTAAGAAGAAACAAACTTGAAAAAACAAAACAAAACGAGCAAAAAAAGCGTCCATACTTCCTTCCCATGTACAGTGTAGTAAGTTCAGAGCACCTTCCACCCTTTTCCAGTGAGGTAAATGAAAAAACGCGTAAGCTATCGCTTCGCTGTCTCCTCGTTTTAAAATATGCTCTGGAGGTAGAATCAGACTCTTCTGCTCCAGAAGATACTAAAAGAAAAAAAGATATCTTGACACTGTGGCATGGAACAAACCGCAAACAGTAGTTGAAGTTTGGATTAGGCACCGCCCACACTACGCAGGAGGAATTTGAAAACTTAACCTTATTTCTACGGTTAGACCTACCGTCCACACTAATCCGTCACGAAAACGGAACTTTCTGAAAACGCTTCGTAAACCGGAGAAATTTGAAAACGCCGGCTTTGCGTTTTCGTGTGGACGGAAAACATTTTGAAAACGGAGCTTTTTGAAAACGATGACGTCACGATAATCACGTGACTTCCCTGACCGAGTTTTCCTCAAACACAAATTCAAAATGACCGGTGATTGTTGCGTTTTTCAATTCCTCTGGCGTAGTGTGGACACGGCCCTAGATTTTGACTACTTTGACATTCAAACGGCTTTCCAAACTTCTCTGCCAATCAAGGCGCCAACAATTGCACACCCAGCTTTTTGAGATCTTTTGTTGGTTTTCCAAACTTATCAGCCAATCAAACAGCAAACATTGGCACGTCCAGTTGATTGGCATTCTACATCTCCACCTCCTAGCTAAACTCTTTTCTGATTCGCCTAGCATTGTGGAAACCAACAAAACGATGTCGCAAATTGATTGAACATTTTTAACAACAACTAAAAAAATGAAACTTCCTCTCCTATCTTTGGCTAACTTTTAATTGTCAATACATGAATCAACTAGTCTACATTGCATATTCATTTGGCTTGTCCGTTGTGTGTGCATCATCTCTGTCTAAAAGGCTACAATGTAACAGATAGTACGCGATCATAAATTTGATGGCTTTTAAAAGTTCTTACTTTAGGAACATGAGGATTAAACTCCACTGCTCTATGTATGGCTTCCACAGCCGCCATCTCAGTAGGACTTAGTCCTCTTTTTGCTGCGATCTCAGGAGAGAATCTGCAGAACAAAACAAAGTATTTGAAAATTGAAGTTCAACACAGTTCTCGGACGGGGATGTTATAAGGAAGTTAAAAGAACTTGGCCTTCAAACTCATATGATAGTTGCACCTTGGCACGGTTTTCTTTTGAGATACCCTCAATTTATTTTACATTTTCTGACCACTCTCTGCCCATTAAAAAAAACTTTTCATTTACTAAATAATGCAGTTAAAGCAGCAAAATTCTTTGCTTACTTGTCGCAGACTGCTCTCGCTTTGAGAAGAGCAGCTGAGTAACATATAGTGGCTGACTTTGGAAGACTTATATCTGAGGAGGGAAAGACACGATTAATCTTTTCAGCCAATGCATATATACAATGGAATTAGCAAAAACCAAAGTCATATATTTGAGTTCCATTCTTACCATCATATTTGGCTAGAACTTGCTGTTACAGGAAATAATAAAGAAAAAAATCCAAATCAGTCAGTTTTAACGTAAGTTATAATATCTGCTAACCAAATAAATGGAATTAATAACTCTTAAAAATTAACAGCTTGTGTTAAATACCTGCACTTCTGAGTAAGCTTGTATTTCAAGTAAAGCCTCGAGAAGATTTTCATGGATGTTAAGAACACTCATGAGAGGAAATTCTTTCATAAGCTGAGAACAAAAATAACATACTTACAAACTAAAAAAAGAGATCTGGGGGATCCTGGTACATGTATGGTATGGTAAGGTTAGTCCTGAACTGACAGGAGGGTGGGGGGGTGGTGTGTATGTATTTCTATTAAACTACAGCTATAAACTTGAGAATGTAAACGTACATCTCTCATCATTTTAATGGCTTCTTTGACTCGTCCAAGCTTTCTTGCACACATGGCTAGCCTGCGTCTTATATAAACACACACATTGGTGTCTCTTCCTGAAAGAGTAAAGAGTGTTAAGGAAAGATTGGTGAAAAGGTGACATTTAATGTTTTTTTTTTTCTTTCATCTTCCAGCAGTAAACTTTTCTGATACCACTGAACTTAAGCATGTGATGAAAAAAGTTTTGAGCCATTTTAGCAATGCTCTCTTTTTTGATAAGACTACGACATGGTACCACAGACATAACTTTTTAAAATTTCCTGACTTTTTCTTGATAAAAATGAAATTTCCCTGACCAAATTAACACAAAATGTCAGACATAGTAGTGGCTTCTGGCCTCAACTTACCACCGTCCTTTCAATTCGCTCATTAAGATATATTTAACATATTTTCCTTCTTCATTAAGGAAAAACATTGTTGAGATCACAGTTATCCCAAATGTTTCTTCCAGCCTTCAGTGGTACTAAATCAGCCGTGTTAAATTAATTCAATTTTCCCTGACTCAAAATAAAATTCTCAGACTTTCCCTAACCTTGAAGAATTTTTTCCCTGACCATTTTCTGACCTGTGGCAACCCCACTAAGAACATTTTTATTGTCAATTCTTTGTCAAGTGATTTGCTTGTCACTTACTGTGTAAGGCTTCCTCTTTTGTGTCAGGGTTTACAGACGCACTGTTTCTTAGCAAGGCTTCACTGGCCTTTAATGCTTGTTTGAATAACTTTTCAGCCTGAAAAATACAATCATGTACAGTTCATGACATAATCATAAAACATTTGGTGACCTACAAATTAAAATGAGATTTTCATTAGGAGTCAGTGCACATTGTTTAATTCACTGAATTCTTCCCTTGAAATATGTCAGACTTTTTCATCACAATTTTCTTAAGTCTTCTTTGACTAAAAATCACTGAAAACCCTAAATCACTAATGGGGTTGACCTGAAATAGCCGTTCTTCGTAACATTTGGTCATTCTCACCTCTAAAATGGTTTGCGCCTCCTCCTCTGCTAATAAAATAAGTGCTGTAGGACAACTGCAACAAATCAAATTATAATTACAGCACTTAACAGAGAAACTACAATACATTGTATTTTTACTCAGTGCGTGCTAAATTAGCCAAGAGCAAAAGGCTTTTTCCTTTTATTCTGCAGTTAACTCTTCAAAGCAATTTTGTCTAAATTATCACAAGCGGCAAGGTGAATCATGACACACATGCATGATGCTGCCTTGATCCCTTCTATGCCATCCTGGGAGTCAAATGATAAACTTTATCAGTGAGAATATATATACTACTATAGAGAGAAAAACAGTTTTTCTACATGAAAACATACCTAGAATTATGTTCTAAAGCTTGATGAGCTGTCTTGATTCTCTTCTCTTGATCTCTTTCTCGCCACGCTCTTAACATTACTACAACAAAACACAAGTAAATGCTGTAAAATCTTATCACATAGGATAGTTAAGAAAACAATGATTCTTCAAGGCAATGACAGCGAATACTGTAAGTACTTTCATGCATTTCCCTAACAATAAAAATCAAGCTGAGAACTCTTAAGAGAACGATAAACATGTGTATTGCTTTTTACATTGTTTGGGCAATAATCACATCTTTAACTTGAAAAAGAAAACAGCAACAACATTTTATAAAAAATAAATTGTACATTCAAGTGAATCAATAATAAGGCAATTAAAGCAAATCTATTATTTTTAGAGTGTCGTCAAGTGGCACTTTCATACACTTCTATAGTGATGGAATGATCTGATCTGTTCAAAGAGTATACAACTGTAAATTAATAAAAGTAGACAGTCTTGTTTCGAGACTTAACTTGCAAAATAATCAGTGGGTATGCTAAATTATAACTGCAGTAAAGTTGCTTAATTTTCAAAAAGGTAAACTGATCTAAGAAGCATAGAAGTGTTTGTTCATCAAGCAATGTTCTGGGCTGATTTGTTCCCAGCCTGTACACCTGCATTATGACTTCAAGTCATATTGCCCTGTCATACAGTCAATAAGTCCTTAAATAATACTCACACTCATCAGACGGCTCTGCACTTTCAGCATCAGCATCACAAGTAAAGAATGTCTGTTACAAAAAGAGTTACTTGTAAAAATAATAATTATCATATATGTATTAATTCAAGGGCAACACAAAACCCCCTCAATTCTAGCTTGCCCTTTGGACAAGCAGTTCTCACATTTTGCTTGCCCTGGTCAAGCCTTAGGTTTTTTTTTTATTAGCTGGCAAACAAATTGCCTGGGCGCTTGCCCCTTGGGCAAGTGAGTGAGAATGGATAGTAGTTTGCCCGGGAGGGAAATTTACTTGCCGTGAACAAATGGACAGCACTTTTTGCAGCACTTTTTTAAAATCAATTCCTTGAGAAATCTGACAATAAAGTAATTGAATTAAAAGGCAAGCTTGAAATTTTTGATTTCTTCAATGCAGTGCAGTTAAATATCTAAGGGAACACGAGGACATGTTAACAATGTAAATTATATCGCCTTCTGGAAACATGGCAGGAAATTTGGGACTGTTAAAATGGTTGTGTCTACAAAGATGATGGAATTCCCCCAGACTTTAATGTAAGAGTGAAAACTCAGTAGTAGGTGACAATAACTACTGTAGTCTACAAGTTAAAATACTGTGAAATGTTAGAAAAGTAAAAATATAATCAGACTTTGGCCAACTGGTATTTCTGGGGGATTTTCCATTCAGCCAAAACTCTGTGTTCTACCATTAGAGCACTCTTGTTAAAAAACCATGTTAGTTCAGAGGGCCAATAACTAAAATCAAGCAATCAGATTGCTCCATTGCCAGTCCAATATTCTCTCAGTTTTGGACTTAGTACTGTCTGGGGACCAAAGGATTTTTTGGTTGCTTTATAAATTATAGCTTTTGCCTGTGGAAGAACTTGCTTTAAACAGAAAAGATTCCTTATCTTTTTCTTCCAACTCTCTTTCCCTTTGGGTTTGTTTAACTTCAGACATGAGTCTACACCTAGTTGGTTCCCAATCAGAATTGTGCCGTTTTTTCCAGTCCATGATTGTGGCATTCTTTCCAAAAATTTTCAGCTGTGTAATAAATCTTTTATTAACCAAGCTTGCTCCCGCCACACTGGGAGAATATCTGCCCTCAGTCCTTTCCGTATGGACCTTGCTGCACTCAGCTTATACTGTCAAGACCTTGGGCCAACATTCACCCAGTGCGGCCCTTCCTCTTGGTTAATAACTTAGTAGTATGTAGTTTAGGCACACACATCTTAAAAATATGGTTAAACAGGAACATTACTGCGAAACATTACCTGATGATCTTGAGCAGATAAATTCATGTCATAATAAGTCAACGGTTCTTTTCCGGTCACCCAGTAATATCTGGCAAAAGCAAAATTGTATATTAAAATGTATGCCTGCAACAGGAAAAACAAGGAACTACAGGTTGAGTTAAAAACGAAACACTTATCAAAGAAGGCATTGTTACCTATTATATTCTGCACCTCGGAAAAGATTTCCAGGATTTCTCCAAACTTTACACTCTTAAAACAGAGATCAAGACAGTTTGTCAATAACAAGCACAGTAAAATAATATTCAATTGAGTGGCTGGATGCTTAAAAAAGTTTTTGAAAGCCCAAGAGAGGGTCCTTACTGGACACAACAGGCATATTTGAGACAGCACACAATATTGTTTTTTTGACCTTGACACCTCTGCAGCACCTACATGTAAGCTAAAAACTATGAACTTGGTTTAATCTGACTCTCATTGGGATTTACATTTAACTCTAAACTAACAAAACAAATTGTTCTCAACTCAAAAACTAAACTAGGACTTAGCTAAATGTGAAACACTGGGTACCAACACTGGAAAAAGGAAGCATTTTGTATAGTCTGTTTATCTGAATAGGATAGAGACACTTGCTAAAATTTGTAAGTCTAAAAAGCTCATCAGGCCACAGCTTATCCCGATTTTGGTAGCATGAAGTGACTAGCAGTATTTCTACTCCCCCCTGGATGGGATGCTAGTCCATCGCAGGGTTACCCGCAGCATTAAGTTCATCAGTATCCATTTATACACTTGAGTAGAGAAAGACACTGTGAGAGTAAAGTGTGTTGCCCAAGAACACAACACAATATCCCCGGCCAGGGCTTGAACCTGGACTGCTCGATCCAGAGACGAGCGCACTAACCATGAGGCCACTGCAACTCCCACTGCTAACATTTGTGAACACTTTTAAATAGGAAGCACTTTATTGAAAGGGATTTTAAAAACTCTGCTAGTGAGGTACACTCCTAGATGAGAAGGACTCTGCTCTTATGTAAAAAAAAACTTGCATAAATACTTGCACATATAAGAAGCCTCTCCGCAATAACTACAGGTAATCATATGGATGCGATTTACACTCCAAGTGATATTTGAAAATTCTCTCAAAATTGCGCGAGCCTTTAGGTGAGTATAATTTGAAAGAATTTTCAAGTGTCACAAGTAGTGTAAATCCTTAATCCTCATACGTTTACTTGTACATTTTTATTATATGACTGAGAAAATCACAAGAGCATGCATTTTAATTTGCACTGCAGTGAAAATTAAAAATAAATTAGCCTGCTCTCAGCCAATCACAATGAAGTTATTTTGTCAGTCTTATACGTGTAATAATGTATTTAATTAGTAATTAAAAAAGGCTTTAACCACATTCATTAAATCAATATTATTATAAACCCTACAAAGAATTGAACAGGGGATTTAACAAAAAGTGTAGAGAAAGACCTCCTAACCTCTGCAGGCTCAGGTTAACCAATAGCAATCCCCCCCACCCCTGTAATCTGTTCTCACATACCTGCTACATTCTGCTGTGTATTCTGTGGTGTATTATCAGAGCTACCCAGCAGTGGACCAAGATGAGATAACGATACATGTTCTATGAAAGATGTACCATACTTCCGAAAGTACCACCACTCAAATATCTGTGATAACAGAACGAAAACATGGGAATAAAAGCAACTAAATTACCAAGCTATGAAGACATGATTGATCATCGCAGTTATACACACAACTGCTTAATTTGTGTGTATAACTGCGATGATCAATCATGTCTTCATATCTTTCTCTGCAGTTCAAATATATAATATTTCATATATTCCCTTGCATAAATTACCAAGCATTGCCAAAGATGCCTGAATGAAAGAAGTTACTGTAAAATTCTGGTTATGGACTCTGGGTGGGGGAGGGGGGGAGGGGTTTAGGGGACTTAGAAATTAACAGAAGGGCTACTGGCTACAATTTTACTGTATTTCATGGCCATGTTATTTGAAATAGTAGACACCTACATGTAACTAATGATACTATTATGAAGTCATTGCCATTTATGATGGACTAGAAAATGTGAAAACTGATGATTGACATCTTTAAGGCCATTTACTTTCATCAGGTGAAACTCCTTGCAAGGCTAGCAATTACAACATTATAAATGGTACAGTTAAAATGAAAAGCCAAATTTTGTGATATGACTCAAATATTTTTCTCATTGCAAACGTGGATTGAATGATGGCATCGAAACTTATATTTGAACTACATTTTGCACCGGTACCAAAAATCTAATGATTATAGATGTTTCTTTTTGACTAAAAATGTTTTTCACTGGAGGAACTTTTTTTAAAGACCATATAACCACTTTAAGTAAAAATCTACTTGTGTTCTATCACAAATGCTGTTCTCTGATTGGCTACCCTACTCAATATCTATTTCTGTTGTAGATAGTGAGTAGCCCAGCAGTGTCCATACGCTTGTTATGAATATGAAGGGTACTTCTTTACGTTTTTGAAGTGTCTGTGAGGTGGATTTAGATAATGTTTTGAACGACTAGTAGATTTATACTAAAACAATTAGATTATTTGCTCTCAATTTCTATGCCGATAATTGACTCAGGCTGTGCCCTCGTCAACTATCACACGATAGAAATCTCAAGCTCATGATCTAATTGTTTTGTAGAATACACGAATCTAGAAAAATCAATTCTTCATGAACACAAAAGGTTACAGCCACGGTAGTTTTATTTGTAAGGCTCTTATGGATGTAAGATAAAAAAGTATGAAAAGATCTATTAAAATGTCCTCTTGCAAGAGCAGAAAAATTTTCAAGAACATTATTGAATAACCAGAGAAAGTGTCTCACATCCAGTGAAAATTAAATGTAAATTAAAGTAAAATTCAATGGGTTGGAGTCACATTCACGAAACTACATGACTAGTACATATTTATTTAGTGAGACTGTGTCACAACAGATGCTTGGCTGAGTCAATAAACCAACATGGAAATCTTTGCTGGATGACTAAAACACAACTAGACTCACAAGAATTATCCCAGATATGAATGAAGATGTTCCCGTGAGAGCAACATAAAACTTAGGAGTCAATGTGTTCAGGAATAGAATAGCTGAAAAAAAAGATAACCATTTTAATTAGTATTTTATGGTGATTTAAATGTGATATATTAGAGATACAGAGAAATCCTGATTTAAAGAACCTGCAATGGTAAAAAAACTGGTTTGAAAAGTTGGCAGTTCAAGAAATCCAGGATAAAATTACAATGTTTGACTGAGAGAGGTAAAAGACATTTGGTTCACTGAAGCCCAGAGGGGTGCTCCCAGAAAAGTTGGGTGGGGGTGTGCAGCCCACTTCCCAAAACCCGTACCCTATTTATGACCAAAATCTGTGATTTTTTCTACACTATTTATGACCTGGCCAAAACTTTGATACCCTATTAATGACCATTGCAGCTGGCACAGTTGCCCTAAACATAAGTTATGAAGGGCTTTTGTTGATGGTCTTATTGATAACGATGAAAAAGTAGCTTCTTCTAAGCAACATACCCAATTCAAGACTAGAGTGTTAAAACCATACCCTATTAAAGACCAAAATGGCCAAAATCGATACCTTATTTATGACCAAAATGGCTGAAAACCCTACTCTTTGGGGCTGCATGTACCTATATAACCCATATAAGGGAGTACCTGCGCACCCACCGGGTGGGGGTGGGGGTTCAAGTTATTAGAAGGTCCAAAAACTCTAGGGTTTGACAAATCAGGTTTCCACTTTTCATCCAAGAGCCTGTTGTTATTGAAGGCATTGAAGAGATACAATGGCTTACAAGTTGGTACATAAGAGCTCAGTCCTCTGAAGTATGAAGTGTGAAAAGGATTGCCTTTCACCAGCTTTATTCCAGCTTTTTTTATTAGTTTTGTTTCTCTGCCCACTGTATTTTCACCACAGATTGAGCAGCAGGGTAGTTACAAGTTTGTCTTTTGAAGCAGGACATTTTATACGCATAACACCTCTTTCAACCCAGGAACAGAACACCAATGGTTGATTGGCTCGCAACTATTTATACACTGAGAAGCAATGTGGGTATACTTGTACAACTGGAAGTGTCTGAAGGTTGTACAGTACAGAGTGGAAATCATTTTAACATTAACTAACCAAAAAAACAATAGTGTAAGAAACACATGGTTTGGAAAAAATATTTCAAGTTCATGTATGACAGAGTGACTGCTATCTTCCCTCCCCTCCCCAAACTTAAACAAGACTTTCAATTCCATGAAGTAGTATAACTACCAAAAAGATCAAAAGGTCATTCAACAAAATACAACCTTAATTTTCTTTAACATACAATCTAGGGCTACAAATATGAAAGCAACCTCAAAATGGACATAATTATAAGCTCATCTTAAATCTAATGCATTTTAGTAAGTTGCATTTGAAAAAAAGAGTCAAACGCAAACAATGAATGCGAATCGGTAAAAACAGCTGACAACACAGTACCATCCGGTCTGTCCTTTTCGATTCATTTCTCGAATAAAATTCGTCTCGAACCAGAAAAAAATACAGCAATGGAACTAAGTATCCACATTTAAAATGCAACTGATTTATTGTCTAAGATATTACTCATTTTACCTGTAATTACCAGGGAGATTTGCGTTTTTTAGGAAAAAAAGGGAGAGAGCGGCGCAAATTAATTTCTTGATCAAATGAAGATCGATAACTTACCTAAATTTAAGTTTTCCTTCAGGCGAAGTGGAGTGCGAAGTACATAGAGCAAGAAGATAACCAGAAGAAACCAAAACCCCCACAGATACGTCCATGACCAGCCGATCCATTGCTTAATTTTACTAATTGATCGCTGAACACCGCTCGTCTCGTCCGCCATTTTGGATCACTAAAAATAAAACCTACGCGCTTGCGCACAATGGCTCAGTTCTGCACGAGATCCAGGTTTCGCGCGGTTAAACCGCGCGCCTTGCAATGTCTTTTCACACAAAATACACCAAACAAGCCAAGGATAACGCTATCCACTGAAGAAATCACTATCCAGCGGATAACGTGGTTTGTTTTGTCAACACTTATCCATTAGATAGCAATTTGTCCGGTGGATAGCGTTATTCAGCCCTCGATCAACTGGAGCCAGTTGTACACAGCCCCGTTACAGTCACAAATTCGTGCAATACAGTTTTCGAATAATACGTTTTCACAGAACATGTACAGTTGCCAATTCGAACTCGGTTATTTTGAATTCCCCAAATAGATATATGGATGAAGGAAAAATAAAAGAACTAATTGATTAACTATAAGTGAACAAAGGAACAAGGGCGACAAGAGACAGTAGAATCAGCAAGGCTAACTTTTGACAAAGAGACAATCCACCCAGCAGCTTAACCGGCGAGTCACAGTTTTCAAATCTTTGTAATGTCTGTTGAGATTGAATAAATGGCACGTCGGCTTGGCTGTCCAACGCGCCCAATTTAATCACGATATTTATGTGTGTCCGGATGAGAAGTGGAGACAAAATGTGAACAAAACAACATCGTTACTCTGAAATCCGCTCAGAGCCTAGCACATCGAATGGTAGATGTGACCGACATCTACCATTCGATGTGACCGACACTTTTAAAACACGCATATTGTGTCACTTAAATTTCTTAGCCATAACAGCTTAATTATTTGATAAACTCAAGATGAAAGATTCCGCTAATCTGCCTAATCACCAAGACTCAAGCACAAGGGTCAAGGATGTATGTCAAGATATCTCCGTTGGTTTCTATCCGGAACAAAAGGTACAATATCGATATCAATCTAATAGAAAGGTCGGCTCTTTACTCTTCGTAATTTTCTTCGTTTGAATTTTTTTTTTTTTAAAGCAAACAAACAAACAACAACAAACAAAAAGAAACAACTGAAAACTTCTAATTACAACGCGAGATTTGAGACTTTTGAAAACTGACTCAATATTTTGTACCTCAAGTAGGGCGCAGTTCATCTTGCACCTTGAAGTACTTACCTTCAGTGGTTTCTCTCAGACAACCCTTATCACCAGCTTACGTAAACTCAAGGCATCTTTTTACTTTACATAAAGGTAATTAATTTAGCCGGCAAAAGACACACAACTAATTGTCGGCTCTTATCTAAGTGAAACTAACAAAATCACGCAAGAGTTAGGCCCCGTCCAACCTACGCCGAGCAATTTGAAAACGGAGGTTTCACTCTGAAAATGTATCAGACGTTTTCCGTCCACACTGCGCCGGAGGAATTCAAAAACGCAACAATCACCGGTCATTTTGTTTTTGTGTTTGAGGAAAACTCGGTCAGGGAAATCACACGATTATCGTGACACCATCGCCGTTCGAAAAGCTCAATTTTCAAAATGTTCTCCGTCCACACGAAAACACAAAGCCGGCGTTTTCAAATTTGAAGAACATTTTCGAAAAGCTCCGTTTTCGTGACGGGTAAGTGTGGACCGTAAGAAAGAAAGTTGCGTTTTCAAATTCCTCCCGCGTAATGTGGACACCGCCTTAAACAGACTTCATTCAAGTTACTCGTTCAGAGAAATCTTGTGATGCGGAAACACCTTGCAATTGCAACGTTGCGCAACAGTTTTAGTGGACGTGACTAAGTATAAATATACGCTGAATTTTGCGCAGGATTTCTAACGTTGTAAGCAAGTTCTAAAATGCTCCAGACGACTAGTAAACCGCCAAAAAAGAATGAAATCCCAGCTCAGTACTTAAGCTTTCAAAGGAGAACTGATAAAAATCATCTTACTGGGTTAAAAGTTGAAAAGGCGGGAGCAAAGAGCGTAATCGTGTCACGTAATTGCACGCAATGAACAAACCAACAAAGTTCAATGTTGCAGAACTTCGCGTGCTTCAAGTTACGCCTGACAGTTTCAGGAAAAGACTAGACATTGCACGAAATATAATGTTCTATCGGGTGTCTGCATGCTGGACATTTTCAAGTCTAAAGATTTTTGTAAAAAAAATGGTGTTTGACAGTACATTTTGGGATGTTTTATCGCTGAAAACTCCTTCCTAATTTACAGTATTATATTTACAGCGTTATTCTAATGAACATAAGGTTTTCTACCCAAACATGGCTGACCCTGCTCCTTGAAATTTCATACAATCCTCCTAGATCCTGAATTCACTGTTAAATTAATTATCTAATTAGACGAGGGAGTGGACAATAGATTGCTGCCTGATTTCAGAAAGTTAGACGATAAAGGGAGACATGAGAGTGTTCCTGACGAAAAGAAGATGTTGTTCTATTGGGCACGTGCGAGTGCTCATCTGTAGGAAAGCTGCAGATGATTACCGTCTCAAATGGACAACTGAAACAGTGGCCGTCCCAAGTCCGTATGAAGGAGGGAGCGGTAGAGCATCAGGCTTTAAAAAAACCCCTTGAACTGGGGCAAGATTTACGGCTTATAATGGGCCAGGAGGAATTAAATGGGGTGACCTTGTGGATGTTCCATAAGACATTTAGACCATTTGACGTCTAAAGAAATGAGAATAAGAAAATTTTCCCGCAAATATAAACTCTTCCCTTACAACAACGTATTCAGTAAACTGAGAAAGAGCCTTGTTATAGCTACATTTGTCTTAAATACCTTGAGTATTCAGACTGTTAATATCTCAGAAATCCGAAAAATATTCCGCACTATTTGCCACCAGACTAGCCGTATTTCGTGCTACGCTTGCAACCTCAGTAGAAATACCGTGAAAAACCGCGAACTGGTCTCGGGCATTTTAGGCTACATTGTACGAATTCCTTCTTGACACGCGCCCTACTAGTTTGGGAAATAAAATCACGCGAAGTGAAGCAAACATTTTTCAACCTCGGTGGGATCTGATCGTAATCGACATCCTGTGGTTTGATTTCCCTTCAAGGCAAACGCCCATTTTACCAACCCTCACGTCCGCTATCTCACAAGAGTCACGCACAAAGATACCCCACTGATCGATCGACCTATCTTATATTGCTCGTTCGGATCTTTTAAAATCAACAACTAATGGAATGCGACTAATATATCTTAAGCTTAAGTATTTGGTTAAACGAGAACAAAAGAGGAGTTAAGGACCATAAAGCGAAAATTGCAATTCATTTTTCTCTTTATTTGAGATCTAGGCCGCATAATGGAGAAAAAGCAAAGAAAAGGTACTTTTAGCAGAGTGGCATGGCAATCGGGCCACACTAACTGTACTCTCCCGTTTCTCTGGTTGTTCCATTCCTCTGCACATTTTGGCTTCATTGCTAAAATCAATTTTTGCATACTAATGATGCCCTATCTCCTTTTCCGACGAGATTATTTTCTTTTTCATGTAAAAGGCTCTGTTGAGAAGTTGCGCTGTGGGGGTTCGAGAGCACGGTGCGCGGTTCCCACTTGAACATTTGAGTTTCAAAACCTCATAATTACGTATCAATGGGCAGGTGTTCAATAATTACATTCTTTTTGCGTCAGTGGAAATAGCAAGGACACTCGGCAGTTTCAGAAGTTCAGGCATCCAGGGTACTCTTAAATAGCTATTAATAACTGAATAATGACTTTGGTGTCTAGATGATATTTTTGATCGGGGTAAATTCAGTGAACAAATAAAAAGAAATCATTGTTGCAGATCCTTAACTAGACTGAAACATTTTCTAACAACGTCCTGTTTATGAAAAGCAAAAGAGTCGGCAGGTTGCTACGTCGATAAAGCTTTATTTGGAATATAGCCTCTAGACTGCAAGAGCTCGGTTAAGAAATATGAACTGCCAGCAATGAGCAAACCTGGAAAAATTGAAGCCACATTAATGTTAGAGAGAGACTGCTGATAACAACGCTCAGTGATGAATTACAAGACAATGAGCAGTCTCTCTCTTGTTCGAAAATCCGCGGGGAAGAACGCAAAGAAGTGAGTACGCAAGTGAGGGCTTCGCATATCACGCTCGCACGCTCACGACCGCTCACTTCTTCTTTGCGTTCTTCCCCGCGGATTTTCGAGCATAAGAGAGACTGTTCGCACTCTAATGAATCACTGGAGTCAAAAACTGAATCCGTGACTATATTCATTCAACTACAAGGCTGAAAGCATAGCTTTCTTTAGTACTTTCTTGTATCCCGCTGCAAGTCTGCACGCTTCCTGCGTTTTGTCGTCTTGTTCGAAACCTACATGCGATGGCACGCGCGCGAGAGACACGCGAGAGAATCAAACGCACGGACTTCATACGTCTCTATACGCAAGCCCCCAGTCGTTCATTTGCAAAAGGTTTCCTTGCGCGTGCTGTCTAGAAAGATAATTTGTTCAACAGGGCATTCACAACAGTCTACACCCACAGAAAGTAAAAATACGGTTCTCAAGTTGACAAAACATTTTTTCCGGATCGGCGTTCTGGCTACAGGAATCTAGCTATTTCCTTTTTCCACTTTCTGGATCAAAGTGTCTCCCTTGTTTTCAGTTAATTACGTTGTCTCGACCTTCTTCCTTGACTAAACTGCTTCCAAACTACGGCGTCTTGTCCGTAAAGACCATGGTTCGATCTTAACTGGCAGTTAATAGTTCAGTCTCACCTCCATTCATTTTCACATTAACAAATCGAATGTGGTTTAGCGTTGTCTGTATTCTTATCGATAACGATATGCGTCATTACAGTGGTCAAAAGTGCTCAACAAATTTTGACCGTTGTGATGACGCATATCGTTGTCGATAAGAGTACAGACAACGCTAAACCACATGCGATTTGTTTTTTACCACAATATCAACGTCAAAGAAAGTGTTTTGTCAGAGCGTGACCAAGAGCGTGACACACGAGCAGCGTTGTCTGGACTCTTATCGACAACGGCAAATTAACCAATCAGATTGCGAGATTAGTAGCGATTGTGGTAAAATTGTAATTTACATGTAGATCTTATCGGGATTACATCTGAAGCAATGGGAAATTGTTTGCACCTTCTGCTTTCGTATAAACACTGGTGATCTTCAATTCAGTGATTCGTGCCTTTTCGAACATAGCGGAAAACCGCGGGTTTACGGAGCAATCCGTAGCTTTCCTGTTTTGATTGTCTTTTCCTCCGCAATGCTATCATAGTGATGCTATGAATGCTGCGCCGGTTTTACTTGTGAGGTCTTTAGCGAGAAATTTAAGTAAAAGCAGTGGGCGAAAGTGACATCATATGGGCACGAAAAACGTAAAATTGCACCACCAGTTAAACTGAATGCAATGGGAAAAAAAACTACAACATTTCCGTCCATTCAAGTGTTCTGTCGGATAATTATAGTGCGAAACACGTTTTCGATTTGTTGTGGAGGTTTGCGCGCGAACAAATTGCCGCAAATGAGCTGACGGATTAAATTCAAGTGCAAAATTCACACTTACACGAGATTACCGCGAATCTCTCTACTCACGCCAAACGGAACAAATCTTGTTAGAAAGTGGAAAGTATCATACTAACATGATTACAGAGATGATTGCTGTCTTTTAAAAATCGATTAGCTTCTTAAGAAGTGTAAATACAAATGTAAGCCACCGGAAAGCTTCATCAAGAAAGTGGCGAAATAAGTGAGTGCCGTCGAATCGGGTTTTGAACAAATTGAACCAGTCTTTAATTCAGTCAAGTTCATGAAAAATTCCGCATAATAAAAATACTGGCTGAAAATCGTCTGATGACGTCCCTTGAGAAACCAACCGAAAAGAAGTTGAGCCATGTTTAAAAGACGTTCGTCTTCATAATTATAATGTTTTTTCAAGTCTTTCCACACACTCGTTGAGACGTGAGCATAATAAAATTTGACGAGCTAATAGTCAAGGCGGCGGCCGACAACAACCCACTCTTTTATCTAACGCTTCTTTAATTATTTCGCTGTTCGTCGCACACCATCCGGTCTTTATGCTTTTATTTCCTACGGCTTTCAAAGACCAATTGTGCTGCTTGCTAAGTGAAATGATGACCTCTAGCACGAACATGTTCGTCGGCCGTTTAACCCGTTACTGTGAAGTACGCCTCACTGATCGAGCCGACGCGCTGATTTTTTTACATTGTGTGTATTAGCAATCGCAGAGTTTGTAATAGCATTTTTGTTGTCAGTAATGTTAATAGATTGTTTACGTCGGGACAAACGTTTTTGTACCCCCGACATATTATCATAAGTGAGACAAAGCACACAAAGAGCTCGTCACTAGCTCTGACTGAGCGGAGCGTTTAACGCGCACGTATGAAACACGTCTAGCTTACGAGAAGAAATCTGGATCTTTGAAGTTTAAAAGAAGAAAGCAAGAGGTTTCCCTGTTTAAAGTCGTTAAATTTTGAGTTAGTCTATTCTAAATGCCGCCCTAATAGCCTTAACACGATCATTAGGCGAGCATGACACCCTTATACAATTCAATGAAGAAACGCTAATTACTCAAAGACGTCCGCTTTCTTCAAGTAATAATTCACTTGGGATAAGGAGCGTCGGCATGTTAAATAACTCCACCTGTGTCGATAAATGGAAATCAATGAAATCATTTAGCTTGGTTATAAATTCATTTAAACGAGGTCATCGCGTCCAACCTCGCCGATGCATGAAAAGGTGGTCCTTATAGCAGAACGCTAAGCAAATTAGATTGTAAACTTGTGGGACCCGTAAGTGAAACATTATTGTTGACACTAAATACTGGTAAGTGGTTTAAATATACAAACAAACTGATCAAAACTCTCTATTGTTCTTATGTGGCTTTACTGTGATGAAAAAGACCTCATTCAATATCAATTACAAACGTTTCTTAGAATACTTAAGGTCGTTTTATCGAGCTGTTTCGCCAGTTAATGCAATACACTGACTGATGGGTTGTACGCTGATGAACGGACGAAAAAAAAATCTGGGAGTTATTTTCTATATTGATACTTCGTGCGTCAGTGAATTTATACTCTTGTATGAATAATAGCAATAAAGAGATTGTTCTTCACTTCAAGCGCGCCGCCCTTTAATTCGACTTGAGTTTTATCGTCTGGACCAATCAGAACTGCTATGAGCTATGTACTATCTTAAGCGCTATTGTGAAGTAATTTTAATACCCCCAAACTCACATTCCAAAGAACTGAGCAATGATATATAGCTAATACAACGCAGACGACAGTTTTAATAGCTTGAACTCTACGGAGACACACGGGATTGTTAATAATAGCGCGCGCCAAAAATACGGCTTGGACGACATTTAAGATGCAGATCAGCAATGTTTGGCTTTTCAGTCTCCTTCTATTTACATTTCCGACCCATTCGACATCTCACTGGTGGTAAGCTATGTCCAACAACCTCCACTTTAAGAAGATTATGAGAATATCTTGATATCCTCTCTAGGAATTGTTCACAGTTCACTGAATTAATGTTGAACTCAGTGACTTGCGGGTGCTAAACAGAATTGATTTGTTTGTTTGCATGGTCACTAGGTTTATGTCGCAAGTGTTCGCATTGGGTGCTAAAATCATGTGTAATAACATTGCCGGACTGGTTAACTACCAACGGCAACTCTGCCGAGAGAACCCAGATGTTATGGTTAGCATCGGAAAAGGTGCAAAGCTCGGTGTAGAGGAATGTCAGCATCAGTTTAAAGACCAAAGATGGAATTGTTCTACTGTGGCGCGAGATGTGAGCGTGTTTGGAAAAGTTATGCGTAGAGGTAAGAAATTATCCCAAAATTCATCAAAGCTATTTCTTTTATAAAGCGTTTATTAGGAGTTTAGAACTACGGAAATGAGCAATTATTCAGTGGAATCAGAAAAGTAGAGGAACCCGTTACAGACGGTGAAAGTCACACCAAAAAAGCGTTTTAAGAGCGAGAGTGTCAGTTCTTCAGATACTTAATCTTGACTGATATGACTTCAAGAGTTACTCAAAGCACTCGTAAAGTTGATCAGTTACATCAAACAGAAACCAAGGGACAAAAACTGTATTAAAAGATCAAAACCTTTTTCCTTAGTCAGCGGGTTTTAATTTTATTCTGTTTATCTTGACTTCTGACAGCGAGCAGGGAGAGCGCGTTCGTGTATGCCATTTCTTCAGCTGGTGTTGTTCATGAAGTGACACGCGCGTGTAGTCGCGGCGAACTTAGAGATTGCACTTGCGACACGAATCGCAAAGGAAGAAGTCGGAAAGGCTTCGAGTGGGGTGGATGTAGCGACAACATTGCCTACGGTCTGAGATTTGCCAAGTTATTTGTGGATTCTCGGGAACGAGAGCGAGACGCCAGAGCAAAGATGAACCTCCACAACAACTTTGTCGGACGAAGGGTGAGCTACCCATTCATCTCTTGCTTAAAATAATTTGCTAAGGACAGGAAATTATATCATAGTTACCTCGCTGTCCGTTACAAAATTTACAAAACTGTTCACTTATTGATGCATTAACTGTTAGGCCAAGCTTAACATGGGTTAACTAGATCGTAAAGTAGTCACTTTCGTTTTCAAAGTGTTGTTGAAAGCCTGCACTTATATTTCAAAGTGGATTCTTCAAATTCATTTATTTCCCATGTGTGTTGTGTCGAACAAAAGACCGGGATAAATGTTTGCTTTGAAAACTTATCCCGTGATACAACGTCGGTGTATGTTACTATAACAGCGTAGAGGATATAACCTTTCAAAATTTTCCGTTTGTGAATATTGACGCTAATCAAAGTTTAGTTTAGTTTCCAGCCTTGAATTTTCTTGACTCTACATTGTGAATTAACAGCCACGATTTCCAGTCAAGCTCTGCTTGCTCCTAAGCTCAGCTTACAAGAGTTAATCCTTAATTCAATTTGTTTATATCCAGCAGATCAAAACAGAAAACATTGCTGATTTAGCTTGACCGGTTATATTTATGTAACCCGCGTGGCGCCAAATCTTTTTACACTTTTCCTGTTTCGTTCAGAGATCGTATTTAAGAATACATACCTGTCTTAGTTACGCTTCATAAGACATTGAAAGTGAAGAGCTCTTACAACGATAAATACAGGAAATCAAGTTCGTAAGTTCAGCGTGGACACACATTTCCTCTACAAAGAAGCGCCGGACGATAAATGAGTTTCTAAGCACGAAAACTTGTTTAAGTCTGCTGCAGCTAAAAATTCTATACTTGGTCCCTTGTTACTGACTAAACCTTGTCCGGTTCGCCAATTACTGAAACAGAAAATCGACACAGTAAAAATCAAGATTGGAACATTTTCCAATATCACTTTGGTAACCAATGAAAGCACACAGAAGAATTTTTTCAGACCGTTTCATGTTTTAGCCCCAGAACTTTAAAAAGTTTGAAAACCATCACCGAGGTGAATGGAACATCTTTGTCCGAAAATTAATGCATTCCAGACAACTCGATAAACAGTTGCCAAGTTTTAAAACAACACAGTCGAGTTAAAAAGCGATAAACTGATGCCAACATTTCTTGCGGTTAAATTGTCAAAACAGGCGAATATCATGGGAAAAATGTCATGGGAACAGACTAGAATTTTAAAGCGATCACGAAACATCATGCTATTTTTGAAACTAAATTATGGCTTCAACATTAAAAGGTCATACGTAGGTTAAAATATAGAGTTATTAACAACTTTCTCCAAAATGCTCCTTTCTATTCTCCCGGGTATTCTTTGCTCATATGAGCCGATACTATCAATCACTCAATCTTTAGCGAGGGATTCTTGTATCGACTTATAAAAACCCGGAGATAGGTAGCGTGGTTCTGTGTTAGCATGTTCTTGCGGTCAGAGTTTTCAAGAGCTGGTTTTGTGTCAGTTTCCTGTCGTTATCAAAAATAGAAATCTCTCAAGAGCAGAGGACCTCAGGCAATTTCCTTAACAAATCAGATATTGAATCTCAAATGCCATCACGTCTTTTACTGTCAAAATGAAAGGCTGCTATGTATTTTTATAGGCTTGTTTGTTTGTTTGTTGATTTGTTTAGCCAGCTCATTCCTCAAGGTATTTCACCTTCTTCCGGAGTTTCAAAATGTCTTAGATTTAATCTTTGCCAGTTCGGAAACGAGATACTAAAGAAATGCAACATGAAACAACACAGCAGATTGACATTTATAGTTACACGTGTCATTTTTTCTGGCATTTGTGATCCCATAGCAACTCAGGGCATTACAGACTGTAGTGTAATAAAAGGCAAAAGTTCTTTACCCAAGTTTTCTACTCGCGAATGATAGATGGTTCCAGCCGATTTGGCTATCACCGCCTTACAGAACGAGGATGAGTAGTTTAATATTTTTAATTGAGAATATTTAGGGAGACATTTTTCCTCCTTATGTCCTTCCGAGCGAGCTATCGAGACAGCAATAAACTGAAAATTAGAGGCCTCAGTGTGAGTCCGCGCCAATTTGGAATCACTCTTACGATGGACTTTTCAATGACTAATTATATTACCAGCCCAAACTCCCATACGAGGGCGCTCACAATTATTTCTTAATTAATCTTGCAGACTGTCCAAATTAACCTTTAACTTTGGATAGTGTCCAAATGTTACAAGTAATCTAGATAAATCTGTACACAACATAATTAATAGTCAAGAGGGCCACATTTGAAAATAATTGGATTTCAAAATTTTGCCCGTCCTCGGAATTTTTTTTTTTTTTTCATCCAATTAGATCCACGTTTGACAGCATGTAGTCCTGTTACATACACTAATTATGAGTAAAATAAAATACGAAAATGTTGGGTATTGTCGTCAGCTGTGAAATGACAGCAGAAAAAAACCTTTGTCGCACTAGTAAGGTAAGGTTGTCGTCATAAAACTCAAGTGCCCCACCAGGCCGGAGCTTATCCCGGTTTCTGTAGCATGAAGCGACTAGGAGTATTTCTACTCCACCCTGGATGGGATGCTAGTCCATCGCAGAGTTACTCCCAGCATTAAACTCGCCGACCTGGGTGGAGCCGGAGAGGCACTATGAGAGTAAAATTTCTTGCCTAAGAACACAATAAAATGTCCCCGGTCAGAGCTCGACACTGGACCCTCAATCCAGAGGCGAGCGCACTAACCATGAGGTCACCGCGCGTCCACAACCGCACCGGTGCTTATAAGAAAACGGGGAATTATCCCCCTGCTATGAAAAGAAGTCAGAGAACAAATTAACCTGTTTCAGGCGTACCGCTGGTTGGAGAGAACCGGGAAAATAGGCGAGAAAAAGAAAGTACGGAAGGCAGCGCCTCTCTCCTCTCTCCTTTTTTTCTCTCACCGTTATGAAGCCCATGCGCTAGTGGGGGGGGGACAGTTGCGACATAAGCATAACGCTCTTCTTAAACTTATGCTTATATTCAGTGAGGACATGGTTGGCAAAAGCATTAAGTGCTCGCTGATTGACTGAAAGTCTTTCGCTTATGCTCATGCTTATGCTTATATCAGTATGTCCCCACTGGACACAATAGAGATATTGGCAAAAGCATAAGAAGGCTGATGCAAGGTTTTGATATTCTTATGCTTATGGTATGTCCGGCCGTCCCCACTAGCGCATAAGCTTCTTTTATGCTTATGTTTATGCTTATGTCGCAAATGAGGGCCGGGCGTATAACAAGTATTGCAACTGGTTTAAGTATCTCTATAAGTATTGTAAGCAGTGTGAGTGACAATAAATGTAATAAAATAAATTATTAAAAAAAGGAAAAAAAGTGAGAACCGGGCTTTGAAATGTTCTAATGTTGAACACATGTATAGTGCTACAATGCGATATAGTATCGCATCAAATACTGTTGTTACAGTTTGGTGCCATAACTAGTGTTGACAAAGTTCAAAATGCACTGATTGTAATCTAACGACAATTAAATCCACGAATTATTGAAACGAAATTGAATTTTCTGTTTCAGTTCATATCGATTTTCAAAAACTGTCTCGGGTCTTCGCCACTCTCCAACCATAGGCTGATAACAAATAAACCTAGAGTTCGAAGTTTTTTAAATACAGTGAAAATCCGCGTGTATGAACCTAAAATTTGAGAACCTGTTAGGCTAAAATTTCCCAGTTAAGCGCCCCTTCACATAAGAACCATTCTAGGCTAAAATCTCAAAACGGGACCTTCTTACTCTCAAAATATAGAGTTTTTCAAATATAATACAGTACATCTGATGCGATACAAAAAGGTAACAAAAACAAGCCAGAACACTGGCAGTGTTATAAGACCATAATACTGTACTGTGAATGATTCAATATAAAGGTCACACCAATGAGCACAGGCTGTTTTTTTAACAACAACAAGAAGAAGCTTTAAGAACCCGATTGAGAAACTAGCCCAATTTCACCGTGGTAAACACCATTTATATAAGAACCTATGGAGGCTAACTTGAAAAACCCTAGGTTCTTATACATGAGATTTTACTGTAATTGACGTGTCCCATAAGCGAGAACACAGGAGATATTATTTTGTTCTCGTTGCACCGTAGAGCGATTTAGGAGAACATTCAATTTTAGCACTGTGAGAAATGAAAACTTCCTTTGATCCTTCAACTGAAACACCAATCGAGCTGGCCCCTTTTTGCTGGCCTTTTACTGATCATGAAGGGGCCCATCATCAATACGGCCCCTCTTCTAGATCCAGGACTGAAAACAGCAGCAGTATAGAAAGTTCCAGGCCGAAACTAGTACTGCAATGGTTTTAAAGGTTCGTTTTGCGGGCGCGCGGTGGCCTCTTGGTTAGTGCGCACAACTCCGGATCGAGCGGTCCGAGTTCGAGCCCTGGCCGGGGACATTGTGTTGTGTTCTCGAGCAAGACACTTTACTCTCATAGTGCCTTTCCCTACCTAGGTGTATAAATGGGTACTGGTGAATTTAATGCTGGGGTAACCCTGTGATGGACTAGCATCCCATCCCGGGGGGAGTAGAAACGTTCCTAGTCGCTTTATGCTACAGAGACTAGGATAAGCGCCCGTCTGATGGGGTCACTTAGGTTAAAAACTGTGCAATTCATTCTTGCAGGCTGTAAAAATGCATACGAGTTTGGACTGTAAGTGTCATGGAGTGTCCGGCTCATGTCAAGTGAAGACTTGTTGGAAAGTCATGGCTCCTTTTGATGTGGTGGGAATCTACCTCCGCAACAAATATCACAATGGCGTCCTCGTCACCGTGGATCAGGGCGGTAATGAGCTCGTAATGGCTGAGAGGTATCCAATAAAACCTCCACGTGACGATCTCGTGTTCTTAGAGGAGTCCCCGGATTACTGCGTTCCCAACTCCAACACCGGCTCGCTGGGCACGACGGGAAGGGTTTGTAACAGGACCACTCCGGGTCACGGGAGCTGCGGGATTCTGTGCTGCGGGCGCGGGTTTAACACGATTCAAATCGAGGAGGAGTATAAGTGCTCTTGCAAGTTTCACTGGTGTTGTTACGTGAAGTGCAAAACTTGCAGAAGAACTGTGGATAAACACATGTGCAAATCACCCGAGGATGATGTCACTCCGTACAACTCGGCCCTTCAAGTTTCCGCGGCTAACGCAGATCGCGTTAACAACCAAAACAGACCTCCTAAAAATTCCAAGAAAAACAACAAGAGAAGAAAGTCGAATAAGAATAAGAAGAGAGGCGCTTCGGGCACGTCGAGCAACAGTCTCGACGGCGGTAACGGAGGAAACAAAATGTTATGATAAGAACTGCAACGCTAACAGAAAGGACCAGTGGTGCAGATTACTTGAAGTGGCTTTCATTTCATTGTCGGCTATTAGCCAATGAGCAAAGAATAAGCCATTTTCAAGTTACCTTGTGCCTCTGTTTGAAAACGAGTCCTCGACCAAAACCTTTCATTTTAAAGTGAGCTTGATTTACAGGAAAATGACCCTGTAGGCGGAACACACTTTCAAATGAACGGTTTCGAACAAGGACTAAGTTTTGACACAGAGGAAAACGGAAACTCGGAAACACAAACAACGAAAAACGGAAGGGATTTGAACTGCGCGGAAGGATGAGATCCGTTCTAGCTGGAAAAGTAGAGGTTACATATAAAAGAAACTTGATGGCATTTCATTAAAGAACATTGCTAAGATTTGAAAAAAAGAGTCCGTATTAGATAGTGCGGGAGAAGTCAGTGGACATAAAAAAATAGACAATATTTAAATACAAAAAGATCCAGATTGGATTGTATCGCATTCCTTTACTTCTAAGGAGTTGTATAAATAAATATGGACCATGGAATTCGTAAATGGTTAATATGCGGAATAACAGTTAAGCTCGCGAATCAAATTTAGGCTGGTCGGTTTCAAAGCGATTTCGTTTTTAATATAATTTTCTGAGCGTTCGATGATCAACGACAATTTTTTTTCGTATTGATTGATATTTATCCATTTAAACATTGTATTTATGTAAATATTTAAATTCAGCTAGTGCCAAGACAGGTGCAATGACGAGGGAATGCTTGTAAGTTGTGCCGAAGCACATGTGTTTTCAAGGACAAACGTTCAACGATCTAGATTTGAAAAACAAAATAAAATTCACATCATGAAATCTGACGTATAACTTCACTTATAATCAGGAGCCATAATCCATCAAATATTTTCTCTCGCACGCGATAATATTTCCCAGCTAAAACTGGGGAGTAGTCGAGGATATTCTCCAATTTTCAAAACCGCGCGTGTTGCGAAGAATATTTGAAGGGTAATAAACACAATGGCCTCCATTTGGCGCAAAAATATGCTCGGATCTTTGTCCGCGGACATTATCTGTTCCTCGAAGCTCACAGTTTTCGCTTCTCGGAACAGGTAATGTCCGAGGACAAATATTCGGGCATATTTTCGCGCCAACTAAAGGCTATTGTTTATTTATTTTGTTAGGTTGAGTCTGCGTAGGTGCCCGAGCGTATCCCGACTCAAACACCTTGAGAGTATTTCTTCTGCATAGGATGAGATGCAGGGCTACCCCAACCCCCCCCCCCCCTCCGCCCACGCGTCGGCGTACAATTTGTTGGCACCCATCTATACCCTTGGGTGGAGAGAAGCACTGTGAGAGTAAAGTGTCTTAACCAAGAACACAACGCAGTGACCCTGGCTGGAGGTTGAACCTGGACCGCAAAATTTAGCTACCGCCATTTCAGCTGTGATATGTAACATTTAGATTATGAGCTCAGAATATCTTTTGCATGTGGGTTAAAGAGGATGCAGCCCGAGTCAACTGTCACGCGTCGATATCGAAAGCCAATAATCTAATTGTCTTAGTATAAATCTACTTGTCGTTGAAAACGTTTTTTTTTTTATTTTTTTTATCTAAATCCTCTTCGCAGACAGGGTATTCGTGGTAGAACGCTTGTAGATTTATACTAATAAACAATTAGATTATGAGCTCGAGATTTCTATCGCGTGATAGTTGACGAGAGCGCAGCCCGAGTCAACTATTACGCATAGAAAGCGAGAGCGAATAATCTAATAGTTCTAGTATAAATCTACTAGCCGTTCAAAACTCTAACTCCTCTTCACAGACACCTCGAAAACGTGAAGAAGAGGCCGTCGTTTTGTTAACAAGGGCACACTGCTACGCCTCTCACTATCTATCACAGAATAGACAGTGAGTAGCGTAGTCAATCAGAGAACAGCACTCGTGATATAACGCTGGTAGATTTATACTAATATTATTTAGTTAGTGTCAATAAACAGACGTCTCAGGCTAAGCTAACATTAAATTGTAGCGCATCTCAGGTCTGAAAGCGTCATTTCTCAACAGACAGTTAACTGGTTAAACTTTTGACCAATTTTCAGGTGTATGTTAAACATCATCCAAACTTATAGAGAAGGGAAACAAGTGCGCTAGGGCAGACCCATAAGTACGGTAATCAGGCTAGCGTTACCGGTTTATTGGCCAGCGAAAACAACGGGTTGTAATTTTTAGCGCGGTCGAGGTGTATCGCGCTTTGATCTTGGCGAGATTCCGCGGGCT